TATTGCCAATAAGGCATCCAAGCATTTTTGAATTTGTTCCCAAATGCCTCCATGCAGATCCATACTATACCTTAAATACATTTCTCAAAACAAACACAGTTTTCTAGCTTTGCAAATCTGTATATTTCTGTCCTGGACAGTTGCTTCTTACTATACAGATTATAGCTGATGAATAAGTAAACATTTACCACAATTAAGCAAGCATGAGTCAGTTTCTAAACAATGTATCTGAACTTGTTCCCAGTTAATCTAAAACAATATTGCTACATTAAGTTAGAATTTAAAGCAGTCTCTTCTGCACATAGCACGAGTGGCACAAGGTTTTATGAACACTTGAGTAGAAGATACCTTGAGTTGCATCAGATAAACCAGGATAATGCTGATGCAAGGTTAACCCCCACTCTTCAGTCATGATAACTCATAGCCCGTGCATGTTTAGAATTTGCTCTTTAGCAGCATGTTTAGGATTATGACCCCTGTCTTGTTTGTTATTAGGTTTGTCGAATGAGCACTTAACAAACCTTTATTTCTCCAGTTCGCATTCTTTTTTTTTCTTGGTAAGCAGATTCCTCAGTGAAGTCATGCAAACAATATTGTTATTGTTAGTTATATTCCTTGTTGTTGTTGTTAGTTGCAAAGTCGTGTCCAACCCATCGCGACCCCATGGACAACCTTCCTCCAGGCCTTCCTGCCCTCCACCATCCCCCGGAGTCCACTTAAGCTCACCCCAACTGCTTCAGTGACTCCATCTAGCCACCTCATCCTTTGCCGTCCCCTTCTTCTTTTGCTGTCAATTGTTCCCAGCATTAGGCTCTTCTCCAGTGAGTCCTTCATTCTCATTAGGTTGCCAAAGTATTTGAGTTTCATCTTCAGTATCTGGCCTTCTAAAGAGCAGTCAGGGTTGATCTCCTCTAAAACTAACTGGTTTGATCTCCTTGCAGTCCAAGGGACTCGCAGGACCATATTCCTATACCACCCAATAGCTGAAGCTCCCTGGGCAGGTCACAGCAGGAGATGAAATACATTAAAATTCAACACAAAATGCAAAATAAAAATAAAAACATCACAAAAATACAATACAGCATTTAAAGTCAAGTTTGAAACCAAAGTGTAAAAAACTGCGGTTTTTATGATGGCACGTTCCACCACTGGGGTGGGCCCAACATCACTGTCAGCAGAACAAGACTTCTCTAGCCTCTCTTGCAGCTGCCCAAATTTCTTCTGGAAAGGGCCTTCCTTACAGGGGATGCTACTGGGGGTAGATAGGGAAATCCTGTTCCACTGTAAGCATTTATTCTGCTGATAGAACAATGACACTAAATCCAACAATTATCAGCTTTTCTTCTTGTGCGTAAAGACACAGACATACTGAACAGTTCTGTGGATAGGTCTTGCTGCATTTCTGCTATAGTGACTGAGTTGTAAGCATAACCCACCCACCAAATTCACTTACTTAACTGTAGAATGTTGTGAAGGGTATTAATAAATCCTAATAGCCACTTTGGAAAGAGCAGGACTTGAAGAGTTTTGCCAAAGATTTGTAGGTCATATCAAGTGTCCACTATACCTAATTTATTTGTGAAGAAGGCAAATGTTGCATATGGAACACAATTAACACTCCAATCTTATAAAGAATCCTCCAGGAAAGCATAAACAACACAGTGGATTTGAGGAAAATCAACATATTATAATAGGAAGGGTAAAGTGTTTTTGTTTTTGGGAGGTACTTCCTGTAAGTCTTGAACCTACACATGCAAAGATTATTTACATTCTTCAATGTGGGAGCAACTATAGCATGAATGTGTTAATCCCAACATGTTAGGGGTAATGGGTAGCTTCAGGATGCATGCTAATAGGTTAAGAATATATACCAGCCCATGCATTCTTATTTCACCAGAGCAAGAATGTAATTAATGGGTCTTTGCAAAGTATGAGCCATGACACTATTACATTTGGATCCCAATTACACCAAAGAATGTAGAACTCCTAAGGTTGCAAGGCAACCTCCCACAGGAACATGGTTGTCATCCACTCTTCCAAGACTGTTGCAACAAGCAGGCATCCAAGTTTCGCTGGTGCAGGAGTGGAACATGTCAGAGCAGCTGAAGCTACATTTCCCAACTCAGCAGCAGTTTAAAAGAGAAAGAGATAATCTGACAATCCTAACCCAGTGTCAAGAGAGATAAAAGTCAGGGGAAAACAGGAGCAGGCGTTTGTTTGTTTATTCATTACTATGTTTCATCCTGTATCCAGGTAGCTTTGGGTACCATACCCAAACAGTTCTATAGATGAGCTGGAGAGATAGTAAATGCCCACAGGACAATCCAGCAAACTTCAGTGCTGAGAGGGAAGTTGAACCATGGCCTGCATAGTCCCAGTCCAGCACCTTAGCTTCTCTACCAGAGGTGGTCTGTAGACTACTAGTAGTCCACAACCTCCACTGAGGTAGTCTATAAGAAAGGGTGACAACTCCTCTACTTCCAAACAGAGGAGCAGGATGAAAGCTAAACCTGACAAACACTATACTGGACTGCAGAATCCCAATTACAAAAAAGATGCACATGAATCATATTAGAAAAGCATGCCTACGGTTCAGCCCATGGAAATCATTCTGTCATCAGCACAGTTGGATTTTACCCATTAATATACACTGAAAATTCTTTACAACATCACTGTACAATCTAGTGTCAACATTTTATCTACAAAGAACAGACTGTTTTGGCCTGGTTTTACCTAAGAGGATCAACAAATCAGTGTCTGTTTCTTGCTTGGGTGAAGCATCACAAGGTTGAAAGTTACAGCTGTTCCTTACTAACTTCCTTCCTAGAGCAATTAAAGGTATTGAAACTGTCTCTAGAGTCAGGATGTGGCGATACCACTATTTAGTCACAGGCAGCCCCATGAATTTCTATCTTTCAGCTGCTGCTTAATTGTTCACCAAGAGCATTAGGACTTAGCATATATTCTGTCAATAAAATGTGCAGTTATTATCTCATACCATTCTGGGACTAACAAATTCAATTGAATTTAGCCAGTCATTTTTTTCTTTATGCTTCTACAAAAACTTGCATCTGATTAATAAATGCAGTCATTTAAAACCTTCAGCAGTTGGACTCAATGTGCAACAGATTGCATAAGTAGCATGAAAATTGACATCGATATCATTAAGCAGCAGCAACAGGGTGCCAGTTACTCAAAAACTTTACATTCTAACCAGGTATTGCATCCTTGTTTTTTATGGGCAAATTTGACTATATTTTTCTGTTTTCAACAATTTTCTTTAATGCAATGTAGGGCTGCCTGTGTAGTGCAGCAGTTAAGAGTGCTGGATTCAAAGTGGGAGATCCAAGCTCTAGTCCTAGTTTGGCCATAAAGCTCAGTGGATGACTTTGGGCCAGTCACTGTCTCAGCCTAACCTGCTTCACAGGCTTATTGTGAGAATAAAATGTATAGAAAGAAAATCATGTCTGCTGCCTTGGACTCCAGGGAGGAAAATTGGAAAATAAATGTAACAAATACATGAATTGTATGTATGTATTTAGTTATTTAGGAAACTTCTATGCTGCCCCATTCGCCAAAGCCTCGGGGCCGCTCACAACAATCCAAGCTTTTTCATTAAGTTTCTTATTGATATTTTCATGTAGTATATTTAAAGCGCATTTATGTTCCGTTTCTTTTAAGGAGTTCAAGGTGGTGAATGCTATTCTTGCTCATCAATTCCCCTCCCACCACCCACAACAACTCTGGGAAGTTGGCTGAGTGAAGAAATAATGACAGGCCCAGAGACACCCAGTGAACTTCACAGTTGAACATTAGGGTCTTTTCATCCCTGGTTCACACTATTAAAACAGCTTAAATCACAGTGGGCTACACTGCATGTCAGGTGAGGTTTGCATCTTCAGTACTCAACCTGTAGTGTTGTGTGAACCTAGGGACCATGGGTTATTTGAGGGCTGTTAAACCACTGCATAATCCCCAACCCAGGTTTGTACAACATAATGGGACAAGGTAATGAACATTTAAAATGTCCACTTGCACATGTCAACATGTGCCATAGCACACCATGGTAGGTTGTTGTTCAATCATAAGAACCAGCCTCTAAGTCTTATGCTGTAAACAGCATGCCATTCTGGCTTTTCCTAATTGTTAAGCAACAGTTGTGCAGCACTGAAGAGGTATTAGATACATTTGGATTAGGGTGATGTTTGTGTCATTTGTGGTTTCACAAAGTAAGAGATGACAAAACTTTAGCCCAAAGTGGCAAGGAGTAAAATATCTCAGCACATAGACTAGTATAATTTAGACTGTAAAGTTGCATGATTATGCAAGTACTGACCTGTTTTAAAAGAGGTTTCTATTTGTGTCTGTTCCTTTTAAGCTTTTTAACAAGTTTTCCTTTTGGGGAGTCTTTCCGGGGCAAAAAGCAGGCAAGGTTTTCAAGGCTATTCACAATACTGAAAGTTTGAGGATGCTTTCCAGGCCAACTCTTCTTGATCCTTATTAAAACTGTCTTTCTTTAGATGTGTGTGTGGCATTATGGAAATTAATCTTGTAAAGTGTGTTAGCTGGTTGGGCACTGGCAGTAGCCTTTTTTTTTTTTTTTTACACACCTGTTGCGAAAACTCTCCAGCCCAATTCCACCAACCCAGTACCTTGCTCCGAAATTGTTAAAGCACCTTTTAGCCAAATTACTATTTAAATTGGAAAGGCAAACGATACTCGCAAGAACTTCGGAGGGGGAGACAAGAATCATGTTGTTCAACAATGTATGGGACTGGGAGGTGAAGCATGTAAAGGCTACCTACGGCTTTTGAGAAGAGAAGAGGAGAGAGAAGGCGGAAGAGTCCTTTTCATCCCCGAAAAGCAGCTAGCAGCGCCGGGGGGCGGGCGGGAGAGGTGACCGGCTCAAACCTGGCGACTGGAGGGCGAGGGCAAGTGCTGGGTCCCCAGCAGGCCCCGCCCGGGAGGGAAGCCTCATGGCTGGTCACCCGTTTACTCACCATGTCGTAGACGTTGAGAACCACCAGTTGGTTCGCCATTCTCACCCCGCGCGGTGCCACGGAGGCGTTAAAGCGGGGCCCCCTCTAATGCCTCGGACGGCGGCGGCCTCAGGGCGCTCACGGCCGGGACCCCGGGCGGACGCCGCCTCCCCGTCCTGCCTCTTGCTGAGGGGCGGGAGGAGGCGGAGGGGGCTGCCGGCAGCATGGAGCCGCCTCCGCAGCGGGGAAGGGGGAGCCGGGGCTGAGCCCCCAGGAAGCGCTCCACCCGCGCACGGCAGGGAAAGAGAAGCGAGTTACGGCCGGCACCCGGGTGGGGCCCGGCCCGCTTCTCGTTCGTCTCCGGGCTGCAGCCGCGCTTCTCAGGCAGCGGGGACACCAGAAAACAGCCTCCTCTGAGGAGCACCTGCCGGGCCGCCTGAAGCCTCAGCGAACCGATTTGAAAAAGCACCGTCCCCGCTTGCCCGCATCTTCAACGGGGAGGTGAACGCCGATACTACAACTCCCAGCATGCAGCATGGGACGGATCCATTTCCCAGCAGGCCGTACTGTCGGACGCCAAGTACGAATCCCGCTTGCGGGCGTTCTACTTTGTCCAAGACGAAAAGTTGGAATGTCGGGGGAGTTCGCTGCAGCCTGGCCTGTTCTTAGGGAGCTGGGAGAAATTCGTTCTCGGAGTATGCTGAGAGTGCAGCTGGCATTCCCCTATTTTAGGAATGTGTGTGTGCGCGCGCGCCTAACCTTATGAATAAAGTGGAGGACATGGGGAAACAAGATGTTAGGGAACAGGGCAATTGCTTAAGGTTTCTCCCTGATAGTTCTTCCACCTGTTCGAGGCTTCTCCTTTAAAATGGTGATCGTTGGTATCTGGAGCTAATACACGAGGTAGGTTGCACATGCACACGCACATAGGCACGCATAGCAAGAGTGGCCAAGCGGAGGCTCGGGAGATGCATGCAGCTCTCTGAGCCTATTTTGCATCCCCCCACTCACCACATGGAGTGCCTGCTTGCCACCCATGGCTGCTGCCACTGCCCACAGGAGCCAACTTGCAGCTGTGAAACATCTGGCATGTGTGGCTCCTCCGTTGAGCAAGTCTGGTCACTCCTGATATCACCCTCTTGAAAATTTCACAGCTGTTCCCCAGCTAGGGCCTAATAGGGTTCAGATTGACTGGAAAACTGCAGTGAAATACTTTTGGGGGGCATCACTGAAAAGATGCAGAACACTCAATGCAAAATCTGTAAGCTAGGCATGGGAAAAAACTGCTTGTTAGATTTCACTTAAGTTGTTCACAGAAGCTGGGTTGCAGTCTCACCTTGGCATATTATATCGTATTGTCATTTGGTTGGTTATCTGATCCTGATCAAAGGTTGAGGTAACATTCCTTTACTGTACCCTCCCCCCCACCCCCGTGTTTGTCACCATAGTTCATCAAGTTAAACTGATCTTTAAAAGAAGTTGTCATTTTGAGAGATTCAGGCTGATACTTTTTTTTTGGGGGGGGGGGGGCTGTCCTGAGAACCACCACAACATGACTGTCATAGGAAATGCGGTCAACAGGTGAACATGGTGTCTGCTGGCGGCCATCAGTTTGTTTTGAAGTATTCTCAGGTGTTAGTAAAAAGATGTGTTAATTTTGTTCTTAAAAGAAGTGGAAGGAATGACAGAGTACAGTGGCAAGTGCCAAGAATGGTGTCCAAGTGTGTTCATGCTTGCAGACACCACATTCCCTACCCATGCCTTGGTCCACTCTGCCACTCTCCATGGGGAAAAGGGAGGACTGCAGTGCTTCCAAGTATATACACCTCTTCCTCTTTGAGGGTACAGTAGAACACAGTGTGTCCAGTGGCTGCTTTGTTTCATTCAGATCTGCAAAGCAAAAGTGCTCATTAGTAGTAGCTCATCAGCTGGTGTTTAGCCAGCAGTAGCAATAATTGGTGGGCCTATTTTTGTGGTGCCACTGGAGAATTTCCCCGCATGTGGGGGTAAGTGCTTCTTCTGGTTATGAAGGGTAATCTGCCATCCCTCCCTTGCGGGGAGAAGAGTATTTCAGCAATACAGTTTAGTCAGTATTCACATATGGCAGAGGAGCTGTGGGGGAGACGCAGGAGATCTGGACTGCAGGAGTGTTCTTCCAGTGTATCGGAGGAGTTTTATCTGTGTGTATATCAGGCCAGGGTCCACAAGTGTAGCAGAAGTTCTACCAGTGCCTAAAGCCCCTTAGCTGGCAGATCTTGATAACAGGATTGCACCCTAAAGTTTCATATTTTTCTACTATTGCTTGCAGTTTCATTTATCAGATACATTGCATGGCATTTATTAAAAAGTAAAGCAAGTATATTTTATAGCTGTACATTTTATTCATTAAATTGCTAAGCAAACATTTCTAGAAATGGCTTTTAGTTAGGCAGGCAATTGGATTCTGTTCTGAAGTTTTTACAAGAAAACATTTGTTTTCAGAATGGTAAAATCTGGAAGATTTAATATACATTACATAGATATTGACTTATACAGTAGACTAAATGGCATGAAGTGCTAACAATGTTACTAGCAAAGAGAGAGAGAGAGAGAAAAATTGCAGCCCAATCCTATGCAGTGTTACATGGATTTCAATGGGTTTAGTTGTACTTTACTCTGCAGTGAACTGAGCTGTTACTTGAGCTCCTGAATTCTTGCAGGAACCATTCCTTGTAATGATTTGTAAAGATGGTTAGACATTCTTGTACAATGGGCCCTTTAATTGTTTATATAGGCATAGAGTGCCATTTCTTATGCTAGTGCTTCTGGGATCAGGACAGAAAGTCCAGTAGGAAGCTTTAAGAAAGAATCTATGACATGTAAACCTCAATACAATTTAAAATATACAGCAACAACCAGAGGAGCCTCAAAATTGTTGTGTGGTATCTCTTAGAAACAGTAACAGTGTGGGTTATGAGGTTTTAATGAACAAGGCAGGGAACTATTTGTCCCACACTTATATTTAGTGGAATTAATTGAAAATTATTACAGTATTTCATATATATTGCTGCAAGAAAGACAAGTTATTTTTTTTTGCTTTCTTTTGGTGCATTAACATTTGCATGAAATGACATCAGGGGATCAACAAAAGTGAGTGTCCGAAATGTCCTCACATAGCTGAAGTAGCTGAACAGAAGGACTCCCAAAAACAGTGTCAATATCATCATAGACCAACCAGCAACCAGCAACCAGCTTGGTCTGAAAGAGAATCCAAACAGATTTATAGACAGAGATGTACACACACATGCATAAAGCCCCGATTTTTCATAACATATGTGATTTATAAATATATACAAAACAATGATAGTATAAAAACAGGGGAGAACAATTTTGGTATACATTTATTATAAGTTGCTCTGGGCCATGGTTATGTTAGTCTGTAGTTTTAAAAATGAGAGTCTTGTGGTACAGCTAGCAAATGAATTATGGTATAAACTTTCATTGAATAGAATGTGTCAACCAGTTGGTCCAGAGAGAGAGAAATGTGATCAGTGGGGTCAATTGGAAAGGAAAATGCAAAAATACAGATTGCCAGAGCTTGCTGTGTGGCTGCTAAAGAACATGTAGAATACCATAGGACTGCTTGGAAAGGCAGGTTGCTTACCTGTAATTGTCGGTCTTTGAGTGGTCATCTATCCATTCACACATACGAGCTCAGATTAACCTTCCCCATCCTCAAAGCCAGTGTGGAAAGAACCACACTCGCTGCATCTCCAGTTATAAGAGCATTGGAGGCATGCTTTTCAGGGCATTCTGGGAGGAGGGGTGGCGAGATGAAGGGAGAAGACAGGTGTCACCCAGGTACAATGTATCGTGGCAGGCCCTCAGCCTCCTTCCTTCCTGCTCTGAGGTTGGCATTTAGATAGCTGAAATGGGCTAAGGGATTTGCAGGGAGGAAGGGGCACAGAGGCAATCTTCACCTCTGTGTTCCTCTCATTTTGCAAAGGATGCTTGTAATCCCCTGATTCCAAAAGTTTATGGGCATCCCAGTTGGATTATGCCCTGAAACAATTACGTGAGCACTTATCTACAGGGTAATCAGTGACACTGCCCTCGAGTATTTGTATGGTTCTAGAGTATGCCAACATTTTTATGAGGAATTCAGAACAATCCTTTTTAGCTCCTCTACTAGAGTTATACTGAGAGCATCTTTATTATTTGGGCCCCCACGCAGGAGGAATTAAGAACTTTTACTCTACCATAATCCTGTATTCAGAATAGTCTGCACAGGAGGGTGACTTTCTAGACTGTCAACACATAATGGTCATACAGGGATCACCTTATATCAAGAACTTCCTGATTATTACATTTATGTACATGTTTTCTACTTGCCATAAATGGATTTTATGGTATGTTCTGGGTGCAAGACCCTATGATATAATTATATCTGTTCTGATTCATCAGACTCAAGGACAGCATCGAATATTTGCCTACCGCATCCGCTCAGTGGAGTAAATAAGCAGATAATAATCTACTGCAGGACAGACCTGGACGAGATAAGGTGCTACTTGTCTCTTAGAGCTCCCAACTGGAACCACACCAACATGCTGTCCGTGATCGGCAGCTTATCCTGGACAATCATATTTCTCTCTCAGAACTTTGGGTGGTAGAACCACCCTTCCCAACAGACAATTCCTTTATCTAAAACAGCTGTTCACTGACATGAACAGGCCATCGAACAGAGACACAGATGCAGAGACCAAACCTTATGCATATCCAAATTCTAACTGTCCTCACTTTTGTCAACCACAGCATCAAGAGTTTGTTTGCTCATCTTTCAATGTGATTATATATATATATACACACACACATATATAATCATCTGTCTGCAATGCCTCTCTGCTTTTGTGTATTAATTCCTACCCAAAAGAATAATGGACACACATCTGACATCTGAAAGAGCAATATTGAGAACCAATGGGACAATATTTTAGCATCCCAGGATATTCTGTTGTTGACCTGAACGTGGTCATTCTTCAGCCAAAAAACTTCAGAGGGTGACTACTGTTGCCAGGAAGTCAAGTTCTTTCATTTGTGGTCTGAGTCTAGATAATTGTTTATATTTCACTCCAGGTATTAATTATCAGTACCAGGATGCTT